TATATATATATATTTAATTTTTATAAAAACCATTTTTATTACGTAAACAATATTAAACTTCCAAGTTTTAAAAATAAAATATGTTATAACAAATAAAAAAGTTATATTTAAGCTATCTTCCGCTAGCTAGCCTCCCGCTAAAACTACCGCGCATCTTCATAGATACGTCACTGGATTCTCTCGGATTTCGTCGCGCATGCGCGTACAGCCTCTCCAATATCGGAACACTGGCATACACACGAGCGTCATTCTATCTTTGTTTTATATATAATGAGCAATAAAGATAAAATATACACGAGTGATGTTTCCGAACGCAGCCTTAAGCAGAAAGAAATTTAAAGCCTGCATCACACCAGAATTAAAAGAAGCAACCTGGGGCCCTATTCTTGAACTAGTTGCTAAGGCCTGATTTATACGGGCAATAACTGTTAAGGGCTGTCTACAAAGGAGAGTTTTAGACCGTAAGGCCGACGTCCCATTGAGCGGAAATCTATAGCGGAACGGAATGTGCGGAACCAGCTCGACCAATCATAGCCATTCCGTTTTCTTTCCTTCGCTTTTTCTATGGTTACGATTGGTCGAGCTGGTTCCGCACATTCCGTTCCGCTATAGATTTCCGCTCAATGGGACATCGCTTTTACTTCTTACTTTATACTGTTTATTCNCATTGTAGACTAGCCATTACATGTGCAATTGCGAACAGTATTGCTGCGAAGTCGCGTTCGCGCGCATGCGCACTGTGTTGCTANAAGAATGCAGTAATGTACATATATATGCACGTAAATAAANNGCACCAACATGATTTTAATTTTATAAGCATACCTACTACAATAATAATAATATTACTAATTATTTTTGTTGCTGAGTTTATTTGTTTTAGATACGTGCCTCGAAAAGAAGAGATTTTGTGTTTTATATATATAATTTAATATAATACTATAATATAATGTAATTGTTCATATATATAATTGTTAATAATCTTTGTAGTTATTTGTAATAATTTCTTATAACTTACTATATATTTTTTATTATATTTTTTATATTCTGTTATATATTATTACATTATTTAAATATTCAGTTTTGTTAAAATAAAAGAATATATTTTTGTTTTTTCGAATACTGGTAANNTTTTTGGCAGTTTTTTTTACCTNTGCAAATGTTGGTATTCGTGATTTTTGCCAATCAAAATATTAAATTAAATGTTATATCTATGTTTATTTATTTCTATTGTCTTTAAATCCTATCTTGTTAATATTTTTTTATTTAAATGTAATTAAAAAATTAAACAAATATTAGTAAAACACACTCCACGTGTTAATTATGAAAAATTATTTGGGTTTTTACAGAACCTTAATAATGTCGGAGTTAGTACGGCAGTAATGCTAAATTTAAAGGCGCATGCGCGAGAACACAGTTTTTACAGGAATCTAATTGGCTGTACAGTGCGCATACGCGAAAACGCGACTTCGCAGCAACACTGGGCTCGTACGCGCCAAATCGATTTGGCGCGATTCTCTTTCCTTCTTTTATCTGTTTTTGAGTAAACGGTTTACTCATCTCGATTTGTACGACATATACGCCGTCTTTTCACAGTGGGCGTGCCCATTTGTGTCGGGCTCGTGCTCTAGGTGTTGAGACTAAGATCGCCTTGTGGGAGGAAAATTAATTCGGGAATACACCCGAATTAATTATTGGAGGCCCGATTTAAGTTCGATGATCAACCAATAAACTTTGGTTGAAAAGGACAGGCCCGGAAAAAATCCTAAGGTGGTGAGCGGATTCGAACACGGGACCTCCAGGTTCGCAGCCCCTGCACTCAGGCCGCGAGAACCACTGGGCCGGTCCCGAGAGATCACGCTATTTCAGGCATCAAAAACGAAAGCAATAATGCTTAACCGCTGGCTGCTAGTTACCCGGTACACTATCGCGTAAGTAGCGCCATCTTTTAAGACAGTCAAATTAAAACAAGGATACTCATGTGTCTCTCTACCGCCAGAGAGAATCCTAAAGCCCCTTACACAATGGACGGAATAGCGATAGCGATAGAAATAACAGTTTTTAACACAGAATTCCAACTTGTCGAAAATTTTATCGCTATTGCTTATTCCGATTTTCTGATCTGCATTGATACATGTGTAGTTTTGTATGTTAGATTCCGCTGTTCCTACCTTTATTTTTAAATATAAACTCTTTAAAACTTTTGTTATTTCTATCGCTATCGCTATTCCGTCCATTGTGCAAGGGGCTTAAAGCCTCTTTTTTTTAACACAAACTCTTCTTTTTATTCAAAAACTTTTTATTCAATCAAGAAATCTCACTTAAGATTCCACTTTTTCGATGTGCACCAGCTTGGAAACTCTATCTAGAAGATGTGCCAGATGAGTTTTGTAGTTTACGGGCGCAAC